GGAGTATTTTTCAATCTCTTTTTCCAATACTTTTCGGTTAACGATCTTGTCTCAATCTGCTGATGTTCAAGTTAAAATCAAATGTTCGGGAAGCGTTAAAGCGCCAGTACTTTGAAATATTGGCTTTTATGTAATAAAGCTGATAGAATAACTCGGGCTATATTTTTTTTATTTTCAACATAATCAGTTAATACACAAGAAATTTTTTCTTGATTTTTGTGTTCTCATTTTAGTTATCACTCCTGGTATTTTGATTGTACTCTATCCATTCTAATAATGTGGTTGTGCAGGTTGTATCACTCCTTGCTACTGTGGTGGAACATTTAGTCACAGGCGAAACAATGCAAATGACCAGTGCAACTGATCATCGTTGTAGGTACGTAATTTCATGTCATGTGTGGTGAAGCATCCTTCGTATTTCTTCTTTCATCTTCTACAGTTTGTTGATCTATTAGCTGCAGTTGAAGTACATGGGATAATTGCTTTCCTTATATAATGTGATATTCCTGTTGATATACAGCATGGAGTACTATTTACAGAAGACATACTACAAGACAGCATCTTTAATTTCAAACAGTTGCAAGGCTATAGCTATCCTTGCTGGTCAAACCGTTGAAGTTGGAATGCTTTGTTATGAATACGGCCGAAATCTGGTTGAGTTTTATTATCACTGGTATCTGTGTTTTTCCCCGTGCATCTATTATCTGGTGGATACTGAAATAGATTTTAATTTAATCCAGGGTTTGGCATATCAACTGATAGATGATGTTCTTGATTTCACTGGCACATCAACGTCACTTGGAAAGGGCTCTTTATCAGACATTCACCATGTAAATATTTTATTATCTGTGAAAAAGGAAATTTTGCCTTGTGAGCGTCTTCATTCGAGATGAAACTCTTTTGACTAAGTGAAATTTGGTCTGTATTTTTACTGCAGGAAGGAATGATGTAGAGTGATAGTTTACGATTTCATACATTGTTTTTTAGCTCTGAAGAGTTTTCAAATGTCACTTTATACTGTACATATCAATGCCAAATTTTAGCTTTTTTCCTTTAAAATGACTTCATCGCATGTTTTTTGCATGTACACTACAACATTTTTAAAGAAGCATATGTTGACCATCCTTATCATCATTAGCCTTATCTAGCTTTTTTGGGGTTGGCTTTATTTATTTTGTTATCTCTCTCTTTCGGGCTTAGTATTACATGTGATACGAACTCTAATTAATGCATGGCGTGTTATTTCATTCTTAAGCCCCTTATTACTTAACCTATCACTTGTGTTGGTAGAACCATTGCATGGTCTCATCCTAAACTAGTTTAATGCGAAAAGCACATTGTGCTAAAATCTCATGTATTGTTTTGTACTATAAACTCATGTATTATTCTTATTAATGATGGTACTGTTGGTGGTTTATGTAGATTGACAGCCGCTTGTTAAACTTGTACATTTTGAAAATATTGCAAGCCTCCAGTTGTAAGCCCTTTTCAGTGTTTGACATGACATGTAGATGATTGTAAAATAAAGTTGAAAAATGCTCTTCCATGGTATGTTTAATTTTATGAACTGCCATTTATCTACAACAAGCTACCATTTTATGCACTTGGTTGTGGTTACTTGTGATTAACGTTTTCTAAACGTACAAATAGATGCATTAAGTTGATTTCTTTATATTCATAAACTGCTTAAGCAGTCTTTATGCCTCATGTTGCCCAGATTATTTTAACGAGCTGCTGTGCTTAGAGGACGTGCTTACAGTGAAACTTCAACATAGAAAGTCACCATATTGGGCATGCCATTTGGCTTGACTCGTTATTTTTATTTTTATAGGGGAAAAATTGGCACCTCTTCCACTTGCTCTAAGTTGGAACAAATAGTTTTTGAACATAAGTTCGACTAGCCACTTTGATTCCTTTAGATCTTAATTCTATCCTGATTTCATTCAATATATATATATATATATATATGTATATATATTGTGTGCTTCATGTAGAAATCAGAGTTTCCTGCTCATTTGGTTCTTTTATTTTGAGCAAATTTACTATTAGAAGTTATAATTTTGATATAGCATCAGAAGATTTTTAGGTGTCTGAAACGAATCAAAACCAAAATCAGCAATAAATTGTATGAAATATGTGGGAAAACCCAAAGTAGGGTTAATTTGATTAATCTCCAAGCAAACAAACAAGATATAATGTGTGATCTACAATTCGAGAGGTAGATCGACTTTTCGTAGACCCTAGACACCATTAGAAACTAGAAGAAAAAAATAAAACTATAGGTATCCAAAACATCCAAACAAACTCTAGGTGATTAGCCCTAATAAAACACCCCCATAGCACATTCAAATTTTCCCTCAATCCCCCCCTAATTCCTCTCCTTGCATAGGTGATTAAGGGCTTAACAGAACCCACCCGGGGGCTAAAATCCTCTTAGGCGGCAACTATAGTTTTCGGACCAGGCTGGGTCGGACCGGGCTGGGTCGGACCGGTCTATGTCAGTCCGAGAGGGACTGTCATAACAATACTTCCCTCCTAAAGAAGCTTGTCCTTAAAGTGAAATGATGAAAACTACTAGATAACTTCATAACGCTTCCAAGTTGTTTCATAATCTAATAAATCTTTCTACTTAAATCAAAAGCTAATTTGCTCATCACTCCTCGGTGGGCCTCTACTATCACGAAAGGTCTCAAAATCACCTCCATATCCTTTGTCAACGTCGGAGGTAGTGAAGATAGCACGCTTCAACTGTAATACATGAAATTTTAGATGCAATAATTATGATGGTGGCAACCTCATACGGTATGTCACTACTCTATTGTTCTCATAGGGTCCAAAATATTGTGGGGAGAGCTTCTTACTGCCAGTGTCTTCTGCCAGTAAGGTCTTAACTTCAAATAAATCTTATCTCGAGATTCAAATTGTAACTCCCTTTTTTGTCCATCAGCCTCCTTCATGATCTGGTGGTCTTTTAGTAGATGTCAATTAAGTTTCGCTAATATCCCTTCTCTCTCATTCAAGTATTAGTTTACACTGAATACTGGTGCAGTGCTATGTCTTTAGTCTATTAGGTGAGGTGAATCTCGCTCATACAAAATCCTAAAAGGAGTGGTTTGTGTTGCAATATGTTATGAAGTGTTGTACCAATACTCAACCCAAGCAATCAATCTCGTCCAAAGCTTCAACGTACCTAATACAACGCAATGTAGGTATGTCTTGTATTAGGTATGTCTCCACACTTCTGTTGATCACCTCCGTCAGACCATCTGTTTGGTGAGGATATATTATACTTTTCTTTAGGACTATCTCGTGTAATCTGAACAATTCCTTCCAGAAATGATTGAGAACAACTCATCTCTGTATGATACAATGGATTCCAGAACATCATGTAAATGGATCAGTTCTCGAATAAACACAATAGCGATTGAGACAACAGTGGAAGAACATTGCAGTGGAATGAAGTGTGCATACTTGCTGAGGTGATCCATTGCACCAAAATCATAGTAAATCTCTGTGATCGTTAAAATTCGCACCTCCTCCCAAACCTTAAGTAAAGCAAGGGGTTGCAGTAACCCTCTTGGTGCTATAGTTAAATGCTTGTGTCGTTGGTACACATCCCAACTCGCTATTACATCTTCTACATCTCCACGCATCCTCACTCAATATAGCTCTACCGACAGTTGATTGTATGTCTTTTGTACCCTTGAGTGTCCCCCAATCACGCTGTCATGAAACTTCTGCAAAAGTTTGGAGATGTGCCCCGATGTCCTCGACAGAACGAATCGTGCCTAGTAGAATAGTTGTTGTCCCCTCAATGCATATCGTGGATGACTGTTCGGTTTTTTAAGTAACTTTGCCCTGATCATCCACTACCCTCTTATTCTGTATACTCTCCAGCCTCAATGCTTCCCAATCTAAGACCATATGTATTGATAAAACTGTCAGCTTGGGCTCCTTCACCTTCCTTTATAGTGCATCATCGACCTTATTCTCCAATCCTAGGCAATACCAGATCTCAAATTCATATCCAAGTAACTTGGATAGCCACCTCTAATACTCCTCAGTCACCATCCTCTGCTCCAACAAATATTTCAAGCTCCTCTGATCTGTCGTGACTAAAAATTAGTCACCCAAGTAGATAGGGACGCCACTTTTGAATGATGCAGACAATAGTCATCAATTCCCGCTCATATACAAAATTGAGCATCGCCCTGACAGTGAGCATTTGACTGAAATAGGTAATAGGTCGATGGTCCTGTAGTACTGCTGTCGTCAATTTATATCTTGACACATTCGTCTCTATCCCAGAAGTAGGGGAGTGTTGATATTGGCACACGGGTTATGGCCTTCTTTTGCTGTTTGAAGGCCTGTGTTGTTGTTTTCCCCCTCTTGAAATGTTTTTCTTCAACTGCTCCGTCAGCGGTCATGCAGTCGTGTCATAGACTTAAGAACCTTCTCAACTCCTTCAAGCTTCTAGGCAAATGTCAGTCCAATATAGCCTTTATCATAAAGTGGTCCACTGCTACCCCTGCTCTGCTCACCACATAGCCTACGTACTCCACTCGTGACTCTGGAAACGAGCATTTCTTTAGGTTGGCGTATGATTGCTGCTCTCTCAAAGTGTCAAGTAATGTTCTTAGGTGTCACATATGCTCCGTCTTTGTACGACTGTAGATCAATCTGTCATAAAAAAATACCATGATGAACTTCATAGGGTAAGGCTGAAAAACCGTGTTCATGAGAGACAGAAATGTGACTGGAGCGTTGATAAGGCTGAATGGCATCACCAAAACTCATAATGACCTTCATGAGTCATGAAAGTTGTCTTGTGCACTTCATTTGGCTTCATTCTTATCTAATGTTAAATCGACTTCAGATCAATCTTTGAGAAATGATTGCTCCAATTTGCTCATCTAACAGCTCCCCAAACACCGATATAGGAAACTTGTCCATTACAATTTTCTTGTTCAGAGATCTGTAATCCACACAAAACCTACAACCACCATTCTTCTTCACTAATAAGATTGGACTAGAAAAATGTTTCACATTGGGCCTGATAACCCTGTCTCGAGCATCTCCCTGATCAACCTATTTATCTCATCGTTCTGAATCTAGGGATAATGGTATGGTCTGACACTGATAGGAGGAACCTCTTACTTTAATGTAATGATATGCTTGTGCTCCCTCGGTGGCGGTAAACCGCTAAGCAGCTGAAGATGTCAGAAGACTGTAGAAGTTGTTAAACACACTCAAGAAACTCTACTGACTTTAGATCTCGGATCTCTTCTAGATTTTGCAACTCTATCTAATAGCCCAATCCTGCTCCTTGTATCAGCTTGACCATGGTTTTGAACAAGCTACTATCCCCTCTCAGCACCACCTTCCTCCCCATCACAAATTGTAAGGACCTGGAGCGCACAATCGTTGCACCGGTGGTCTATTGCATACTTATCATCACATTGGAAACATAATCCCTTTGCCCTTTTGTACAACACCTCTGCCTTGTGAGGCGTTGATAGTTGACCCCTAGACAAGCCACTATAATCCTCTCCTTCGCGCCTCTCTCTGAAATGACACTATCTGGGTTCTCGGTGTCAGAGTCGTTAATGTATTCCTGTAGAATCCTGCTTTAGTGCTGCTTTTGATGATCTTCCCCATCCAGTTCTTGTCTTCCACTATCTAGGCTTGCTTCATCGTCTCTCCCAATCCCCACGATCTCAACAGTCGGAGGCTATACGTATGTTGGGCTTTAGACGCTTCATAAAATTCTTCTTCAATACTGTCTTTCAGTCAGCCCAACAATATTTCAAATATCTCCTTCTACTCTATGACAGTTCTATCTGGAGTCATCTCAAAGAGTTTCTCATGTAGATTCTTTTCTGAGTGACTTGCAAATGTTCCAACAAGCAATTCTTAAATTTTTCTCACAAGCAAATAAAGTATGCAACCTCCCTCAAGTTAATCGTGCTAGGGCTTTCTTATCCAAACATAACTCTGCGGCCATGAGGTTCTTCTCCTCCCTTAGCCCATTCACTGCAAAATATTGCTCCACTTGGTACACCCAACCATGTGCGTCTTGCTCCTCGATGATCGACATCTTCAATTTTCTAACTCTAGCATCTCCACTCTAATTTCTCCTCCATCGGTAGTTTTCCCCATATATCTTGGGTGAAAATCCCTCCTTCGATTATAGTCATACCCGATCTCAACTTCTCTCCTTCTTCATACTCCTCCATACCTATTGCATAACCCATTCCCCTTGTTTGACCAACCCCTTCCATTGGAAATCCCTAATCCACTTCCATTGGAACCCTAGGGGGAGGTTCTTTATGGCGGATGCTTTTCTTCTCATATTTCTCTCATCCGATCTATTTCCCTTTAGATTTGGCTAAGGATTCTTCAGTCAAACCTTGGTTAGGGTTTGGCCGATTTTTGGATCACATCTCCATAAACCTCCTCATCTTCTCCTTCAAACCCTTAGATCTATTTTTCATGGAGGAAAACCATCCTTCTATGGTTGAAAATCTTTCCTCAATCCTGGATTTAATTTTCTCCACTCCTTCCAATCACTCTTCCAAAGCATCCACTTTTATTGTTGCCCTCTCTCCAAGATCTTGCTCTAATACTTTAATACGAATCAGAACCAAAATCAGCAACAAATTGCAAGAAATATATGGGAAAACCGAAATTAGGACTAATTTGTTTAATCTCCGAGCAAACAAACATAATGCAATGGGTGATCTACAATTTGAGAGGTAGATCGGCTCTCCATAAACCCTAGATGTCACTAGGAATAAAAAGACAAAGAAAACTGCAAGAATTCAAAACATCCAAGTAAACCGTAAGTGATTAGCCCTAATAAAACACCCCAAAATAGGTAGATCGACTCTCTACAGCCCAGATGCCCCTAAGAACAAAGAAGACAAAGAATACTACAGAAATCCTAAACATCAAAGCAAATCCTAGGTGATTTGCCCTATTAGCACACTCCCAAAAGAAATTCAAACTTTCCTCCCAAACTTCCCCTAATTCCTCTCCTCGCATAGGTGATTAGGGGTTGAACGGGCCTCACCTAGGGACTGGAATCCTCCCAGGTGGCAACTAGGGTTTCTGCTCCCCTAGGCATGGCCGACTGGCTTTGTTTGGCTGGTAGGTCTGGCCGGGCCTGGCCGGGCCAGGCCAGAGGGACCAGCATAACAATGTCATGTACTAAAGTTTTAAGTCTTTGTTATTGTCACTTTCCTGCATCCTTAATTGATATAAGTTGTTTGAAGATGTGCTAAAAATTCTTAAAATATATAACTTTCAGTAATGGTTAAAATCTCAAGAAACTAGTGAATTTTTGTTTCTGTCGCAATGTTATTTATGCATGCTGCTTCTAACCCAATGACAATGAGGTTTAATTGAAGGGAAAAAAATGATTTGGTTGTAATTTTTTATTTAATAATTTAGTTTTAAGTATGAAACAATTTTTTATTAATATTATCTATTGATGATTTTCCTTCATCTTTAAGTACATTATTATTTTACCAAATCGAAGCTGTGGATGGATCCCATCAAATGGGAGACATATTAACAACATGCGCTTGATCTTCCTCTTACAGGGAATCATTACTGCTCCTATACTTTTTGCAATTGAAGACTTTCCTCAACTGCGGGAGCTTGCTCAAAGAGGCTTTCAAAATCCTGGTGATACAGAAACTGTTAGTTTTTTGAAATCTATACTAAAATTTGTTATGTCATTTCTTATTCATGATTTTTGCCAAGAACACTGTCTTCTGATGAAGTAGGTTTTCTATTTATGAATTCAAGCAGAGAGAAAGAACAAGAAGACCACTAGATTTGACTTCTCTTTGCAAATCCTGGAGCCTTATCAGAAATTTTTACTAATACATGAGTACAAGATACAGAGTTCATAGATTCTATCTGATAATAAATCATTCCCGTGCATGATTTCTTGTTCATCTAAACCTACAATATTTAGCAGATATTGTATAACCTTAAGCTAAGAAAATTCACTAAACCGGGTAAACTGCATCATCCGAGTATAAGCTTTTTTTTCTGACACTTCACTTGAATTTTTGCACCATGTTTTTATTATAATTTATCTTCACCTGTGGCATCCCTAACCAACACATTTACATCGGCTTTAGTGGAAATAGGATGCGTGTTAAAAAACTAATACATGACCACCATGG